CAATTTAAGCCGAGTATTTGGTCGTGAAGTTTCCATTTATTTCCTCTTGGACATCAATGGATGAAATTGGTCGTCCTTCAAGGTTGTCTGGATCTTTTACGACAGCTAACGTCTCTTGTATCTGGATCAATTTGGACAACAATGTTGTCGTTGTCGAATTCCCTGATAAGATATAAGGTACTTATTTACACTAATATAATTATGATAGGAGCAGCTTTTTCGACACGGTGCAAAAACAGATCTATAGTAGGAACGTCAGGTGTGGCGTCTAGAGATGAAAAATTAAGAGCATTCCTGCACTCTCAGCACGCATCTTTAAAAAGGAAAACTTCTTCAGTGCCATGAAAACCGTCTAAAATTGTCAAAAACACTTCTCGACCTTTCGACCTAAAGGCCCTTGTCGGAGAGTGTGGTCATACTGACGTCTTTGGCTATTCTAGGTAGTTATACCACATTTGATATAAAGTTGTTATGGAGACTCCATATCCTGATCGACTGCTGCTATGAAATCGTTTTTATGCACGTCTTGTCCATAGCCGACTAACACTTTTTAGATAAAGCCCATTTAGTTAATTCATCCCAAAGAAAGCTTGGAATACAGAATATGAAATCGCTTGTTCTTTGTAGTATATACAGTTGTAAAAGAGCAGTATTAAAGTAAAATTTTGGTGTTGTAATTGTGAAGATGCGACAACAGTATAATTTATGTTTGAACAACTGAACTGTGCATTGCGGTCCTGCCAATTTGAAGTAGTTTATTGACAGGGATAGCGAACCAGCAAGTTTTGTAGGGGAAACAAATTAATCGAGGATTTTTAGTCACCGCTTAAAAAAATGACCATTGTTTTACCCTCCACATGCAAAAATTGAAATCGCTAACCTATACCTGCTAGTGGGACAAATGGTTGCCCCAGAATTTCTGCCACAATACTCCTTCAACCTGTCGGCAATCGCAACTTGGATATCTAACCTAACGGCATCATCGGGATGCTAAAATTGAAAGTAAATAACTTTATAAAGATTCATAAATCAGGAATATCGCATATTTGAAGAAGAGGTGCATATGGGAGGAATTTCCCCGTTAAGATTGTTCTGTTCAACAGGCCCGCTAAAGGAACTAGTAGAATTAGAATTTTCCCTCACTCATGCGGTTGGCACAGCTTATGAAAAATAATTCATTGCTGTTGTGCATGCACTGCAATGGTAATGAAACTCCAGCTCATTCACTATGAAGTCCAAATTTACCTGCGCCATACCCTCGACTGTCAGCTGTATGAGATTTTCCGTTTGCTCCCTTGTAAGGTTGGTATTTTTGCTTGTTGAAACAATCTCATTTGGTTGTGACATGACATTTGCCGACACGCTGTAAATAGCTGCTACGAACCAGGAGACATTGTTGTTCCATCTGGTAGATTAACGAAAAATGATAGTATTGCGTCGTTGCCATTTTGTGTGGGCGATTTAGGCAATATCTGTACATGTTGAAAACTAATTTGATCAACCTGATCCTAAAAAACAAAAATAACATAAACTGATTAAAAATGGTCTCACTGTCATAATGTTGAACAACTTATTTTCTTTCCTGTTGCATTACTCTACACAAATAGCCAAAGGTAATGCTAATTTCTTCAAAGATTATATAAACAGCATGCCGGTGTTTTCCAAGCAGTCTTCAACTTGAAGTCTTAAACGTCCCTTTCAGCGTTCTATGTCAATCGTTTTTGTGATGTTAAGAAGATCCAAAAATTGTCACAAGCTTAGGAGTCGAGAGATCGTGCCGTAAACAGTTTTCCGTTTAACTAGAATGAGCCTACCTCGTAAGATTGCACGAGGCCAATCGTGCGTCACTTTCACCACAAAATTGCATAATTGCTTGGGACATATTATGTCGGAATGAAATATCTTGTTGAAGTGTCCACTAAAATACAATATGTGGTGAGTTGAATTTTAGAACAAAGGTTGATCAAAACAAAGAAATGAAATGAGAGATACGCATTAAATTTTCCGTGTTATCAAAATTGGTAACCGTGCTATGGGATGAAAACATCTTGCCGACTTTATGAAATTCGACATGGAAGCAACCTAGATTCGGTCGTATAAAAGATTGAATAAAAAGGTATTTAATTTGTTATATCATATTTCAAACAACTGAAGTGCAGTCTCGCGTTCAATTTCACCAGTTCAAGATGTTATGCAGTTATTATATATCTTACAATATATTTTTTACAACACGTGGAAATTAAGTGAGAGGCATGGTTGCATATAATTTTTTAATGCCCACACATCTAAATCTCTTCCCACATCATGTCGCCTGATTTGGTTATTTATTTACGAACACTTGTTTAACCAAGTATATGGATATATCCTGGAATATATGAATTGCTACACTTCAATGACAAATACGATGCAGTTATTCAGAGTATGTGGAACAATTCCTACCTGACTTGCATTCGTATTGGTTAACCTTACACTGGCTGCGTTATCTTCCTGAGTTTCCAATACAGTGGGCGTATTGACAACGCCAAGAGTGAGACTGGAAATATCTGATTCACCATTTTCTTGCAACGTTTGATGTAAAGCATCTTCAACAATATCGGTTTCAACAGGAGTGATAGTTCCTGGTTCGTTGACAACAGCACCTACCACCGTTATTACCAGACTCCGTAACGTTGGAATTGAGTAGAACATCATTTTCACTGAACATTTGGTTTCTTTAAAGTGCAGAATCACTAATTAAATGTTATATGTATGCACGGTGCAAATGTTTGATGCAAATGAATGTAATTTGATGTAATTATATATGCGACATTAGAAATGACAAATTTAAAATTGGTTAAAAATATAACTAAAACATGTTGACATAACCTCCTTATGTTTTTTTTATTAAATAGAATTCATCAAAAAGAGATGAATTAAACTGAAACAATCAATTTTAAATTAATTTTGTTTTTTTGGAAGGTTTTTTTTTTAATGTCATTCAATGATTGTTTTTCCTAAGTAGAGGATAAAAATTATGGCATTTTATTATCCACTTACCCAGCAGCTCTCTTCTTCCTTCGGCTGGAATTAGATATAAAAGTTATTAAAGCCTAATGTGAAACATTTTCACGATAGTATTACGCTATATTGGCAAGCTGAAGCTAAGCCAGGGGTGTATATACCATGAAATTCTGTCACTAACGAAATGCTTTTACACAACCGGCCCAAAATGGCTCTTGTAAATTCAAGCATGCTTATGGATTTATGGCCGAAAACAATAAGCTTGGCTCATTCTGTAGTTGGATCTGTGAAAAAATGCATGCACCAATAAAATTTTTTTTCTGAGTAATTCTAATTTCAAAGAATCTTAATAATAATTATGGATAACAATTGTTCAACCAGAGTAGCTATTGCATGTGGTTAGCTGCATGAATTCAAATGATTAAACGACTGTGTATTCGAACTTACCTAGCGCCTGAATTGAAGCCGCATATATCCCCTGTTGTACTGAAACAAAATGTGTTCATTCTGGCAGCCACCGTCACTTTAATATCGACCACAACCAACGCTGTATACTATATCGAATGGCGTAAGATGGTGTGAGTTTATACGTTATAAATAAATGAGAGTTATCACTGTCCATATTGCTGCATGTGACAACATTTCAAAACAAGTTAAAAATATCCTGAGTTTTTTTCTTTTAAATACTCTTTTAGTGCTATAAGTTGGTTCATGCTAAAACAACTGCATCTATGCATATTCCAGTTTCTCATTTTGCGCTTTTCAATGTTTCAATTATATATATTCGACTAATGTGAATATTAACAAGTATAGCAATAAGTAAATGGCATTCGTTTTGAAACAATTAAGACAGAGAGCCTCAAATAACCTCATCCTCAACCAGACAAACAACCCTCATCTTCGATGCAGTCAAATGGCAAGGCAGACTCGGCTCGCAAAGCTTGTCGGTTTCACAGCACGAGTCACGACTCACCTTCTTTGGATTGAAGTTGAAAATTGTTATCGGCACCAAGTTGTTTGTTTGTGCAGATGTAAGAGTTGGAGTTTCGCTGCTTGGTACACTTGTACCAGGGTCTTTGAGCTCGCTATTGATGGTAGGTAGTATGTTGTCTTGTTCCGTTACAAATATCGTTGCCAAGACGCTCACAGGTAACGCGCCACTGCCTCCTGGTAAACTTGCGTAAAATGACAGGATGGAATCGGTTCCGTTTTGTGTCGGTGTGTTTGGGAGTCTCTTAATGTGGTCAGCGGTAAAATTATTTCTGACAGCCCTAGAAAAAATTAATGTAGACATAATTAGGTATAGCGGCCTTTGAAGTTCTCTATAGAACACAGCAAAGTTTTTCGATTATATGAATTAAATGCTTGATTAGAACGACTCTGTAGAATATTCTGTAGAATATTGCAGGACGAAAAGCGTTTTTTAACGTTATTCATAGACCATATAGACTACGAAAGCTGTAAAAGCTAAAAGCCCATTGTTCCAGGGTATGTCCGTTGGGTATCCGTCTCGTTTCTATGATCAACGGATTGACACTGAGGACGGGAAATCAAGCACAGTTTTTATCATTTTAGCTAGCACATACTACAGTTACAGATCGCTTTAGCCAATCCAACAGGAGCAGGGTCACATTGTACTAACAATCATAAATGCGTTTATAACCAGACTTACTCTGAAATATTACAGATTGTGCGATGATATTCTGCTCTTCCGCAAAAGTTCTTGATGGCATCTGCCATATTTTGTAGAAACTGCGCATTTTGAGCTGGCCACTAGATGAATTATTCAAAAGTATGAAATCTACTAAAAAGCGCAAGTCTGCCTTTGGAGAACTATAGACTAGGTGGGCCTATGTTGCATAGGTGAATTCAAATGTGGTGGGGTGTTATATTATATTGTGAAACATTTACTGACGAAAACACGAATAGAAAGCCTTCATGTTAATTTATTATAAGGCTACAAATTAAACTTTCATTTATATTTTACATGTATAACAAACCTCATCGGCTTGGAAATTTTTCAACACCACATGAATTGCGTTTTCGGTCAACAGTCGTGTTATTCTCAATTTAAGGCCGAGTATTTGGGTGGTGAAGTTTCCATTTATTTCCTCTTGGACATCAATGGATGAAATTGGTGATCCTTGAAGGTTGTCTGGATCTTTTACGACGAAGCTAACGTCTCTTGTGTCTGGATCAATTTGGACAACAATGTCGTCGTTGGTGAATGCCCTGATAAGATTAAAGATATTTACTTAAACTAAATAAAATTATGATTGGAAAAGCATATTTTCAATATGGTCGCAAAAACAAGGGCAATAGTAGGAACGTCAGGTGCGGAGATTAGGACGTTAAGAGCATTCCTGCATTCTCAGCACTCGTCTTTAAAAAAGGGACAAACTTCTTCAGTGCCATGAAAACCGTCTAAAACTGACAAAAACACTTCTCGAGGACCTAAAGGCCTTTGTCAGAAGAGTGTGGTCATACTGATGTCTTTGGCTATTCCAGGTAGTTATACCACGTGTATATAAAGTTGTTATGGAAGGCTCCACTATCCTGGCTGCTGGTATGAAGTCGTTCTTATGCCCGTCTTGGTCCCTAACCGACTAAAACTTTTTAGATAAAACCTATTTAGCTAATTCATCCCAAAAGAAAGCTGGTAAATGCAGAAAATGAAATCGCTTTGTTCTTTGTTTTATATACAATTATAAAAGAGCAGTATTGAAGTAAAATTTTAGTGTTGTAATTGTGAAGATGCGACAACAGTATATGCTTGAACAACTGAACTGTGCATTGTGGTCCTGACAATTTGAAGTAGTTTACTGACAGGAATAGCGAACCAACAAGTTCTGTAGGGGAAACAAATTAATCGAGGATTTTTAGTTACCGCTTCAGAAAAATTCATCTGCTTGACTCCACATGCACAAATTGAAAACGCTAACCAACCTGCTAGTGGGACAAATGGTTGCCCCAGAGTTTCTGCCACAATACTTTTTCAACCTGTCGGCAATCGCGACCTGGATATCTAACCTAACGGCATCATCGGGATGCTGAAATTAAAGAAAGTAAATAACTTTTAAAGATTCATAAAACGCATATCGCATATTCGAAGAAGAGGTGGGTGGAAATTTCCCCATTAATTTTTTTTCTATTCAACAGGCCCTCCAAAGGAAATAGTAGAATTAGAATTTTCCCTCACTCATGCGGTTGGCCCATAAGCCTATGAACAAATTAATTTAATGGTGTTGTGTATGCGCTGCAAAGGTAAATGAAACTCCTGATCATTCACTATGATGTCCAAATTTACCTGCGCCATACCCTCGACTGTAAGCTGTATGAGATTTTCCGTTTCCACTCTTGTAATGTTGGTATTTTTGCTTGTTGAAACAATATCACTTGGTTTTGATAGAACATTTGCCGACACACTGTAAATAGTTGCTACGAGACCAGGAGACATTGTTGTTCCATCTGGTAGATTAACGAAAAATGATAGTATTGCGTCGTTGCCATTTTGTGTGGGCGATTTAGGCAACATCTGTACATGTTGAAAACTAATTTGATCAACCTGATCCCTAAAAAAGAAAAAAATAGCATAAACTGATTAAAAATGGTCTCACTGTCATAATGTTAAACAACTTATTTTCTTTTCCTGTTGTATTACTCTAAACAAATAGCCAAAGGTAATTCTAATTTCTTCAAAGATTATATAAACAGCATGCCGTTGTTTTCCATGCAGTCTTCAACTTGAAGTCTTAAACGTCTCTTTCAGCGTTCTAAGTCAATTGTTTTTGTGATGTCAGGAAGATCCAAGAATTGTCACAAGCTTAAGGGTTGAGAGATCGTGCCGTAAAAAGTTTTCCGTTTAACTTAGAATGAGCTTACCTCGTAAGATTGCACGAGGCCAATCGTGCGTCACTTTCACCACAAAATTGCATAATTGCTTGGGACATATTATGTCGGAATGAAATATCTTGTTGCAGTGTCCACTAAAAATACAATATGTGGGGAGTTGAATTTTTAGAACAAAGGTTGATCAAAACCAAGAAATGAAATGAGAGATGCGCATTAAATTTTCCGTGTTATCAAAATTGGTAACCGCGTGCTATGGAAAACATCTTGCCGACTTTATGAAATTCGACATGGACGCATCCTAGTTTTGCTCGTATAAAAGTTTGAATAAAAAGATATTTTGTTATATCATAATATTTCAAAAAACTGAAGTGGATTCTCGCGTTCAATTTCGCCACTTCAAGATGTTATGCAGTTATTACATCTATACAAGAACGTAAATATAGTTATTTTACAACACGTGGAATTTATATGAGAGTGCATGGTTGCATATAAATTTTTTAATGCCCACACATCTAAATCTCTTCCCACATCATGTCGCCTGATTTGGTTATCTTTTTTACGAGGAACACTTGTTTAACCAAGATTATATGCTTATATCCTGGAATATATGAAATTATGAATTGCTACACTTCAATGACAAATACTATGCAGTTATTTAGAGTATGTGGAACAATTCCTACCTGACTTGCATTCGTATTGGTTAACCTTACACTGGCTGCGTTATTTTCCTGAGTTTCCGATGCAGTGGGCGTATTGACAACGCCAAGAGTGAGACTGGAAATATCTGATTCACCATTTTCTTGCAACGTTTGATGTAAAGCATCTTCAACAATATCGGTTTCAACAGGAGTGATAGTTCCTGGTTCGTTGACAACTGCACCTACCACCGTATTACTCCCAGACTCCGTAACGTTGGAATTGAGTAGAACATCATTTTCACTGAACATTTGGTTTCTTTAAAGTGCAGAATCACTAATTAAATGTTATATGTATGCATGGTGCAAATGTTTGATGCAAATGATTGTAATTTGATGTAATTATATATGCGACATTAGAAATTACAAATTTAAGATTGGTTAAAAAATATAATCCTTTTGGGGTTTTTTTATTAAATAGAATTCATCAAAAAGAGATGAATCAAACTGAAACAATCAATTTTAAATTAATTTTGTTTTTTTGAAAGTTTTTTTTTGGAATGTCATTAAATGATTGTTCTTCCTATGTAGGGGATAAAAATTATGGCATTTTATTATCCACTTACCCAGCAGCTCTCTTCTTCCTTCGGCTGGAATTAGATATAAAAAGTTATTTGAAGCCTAATGTGAATAAATTTTCACGATAATATTACGCTATATTGGCAAGCATGAAGCTAAGCCAGGGGCCAGGGGTGTATATACCATGAAATTCTGTCACTAACGAAACGCTTTTATACACAACCGGCCCAAAATGGCTCTTGTAAATTGAAGCATGCTTATTGATTTATGGCCAAAAACAATAAGTTTGGCTCATTCTATAGTTCGATCTGTGAAAAAATGCATGCACCAATAAAAATGTTTTTTTTCTGAGTAATTCTAATTTCAAAGAATCTTAATAATAATTATGGATAACAATTGTTCAACCAGAGTAGCTATTGCATGTGGTTAGCTGCATGAATTTAAATGATTAAACGACTGTGTATTCGAACTTACCTAGCGCCTGAATGGAGGCCGCATATATCTACTGTTGTACTGAAACAAAATGTGTTCATTCTGGCAGCCACCGTCACTTTAATATCGACCACAACCAACGCTGTATACTATATCGAATGGCGTAAGATGGTGTGAGTTTATACTTTATAAATAAATGAGAGTTATCACTGTCCATATTGCTGCACGTGACAACATTTCAAAACATACTCTTTTAGTGCTATAAGTTGGTTTATGCTAAAACAACTGCATCTATACATATTCCAGTTTTTCAGTTTGCACTTTTCATCGTTTCAATTATACAGGGTGTATCAAAAAAAGTGTCCCAAATGTAAAATTTTCGTTTTTCAGGATATTTTAAGGAATTTGGTAAATTTTTGTGTTCCTAGAGATAGTTAAGACTTATCTGGTATACCTAGGCCAAGTTTGGTTTTTTCATTAACAAAATTATGCTACCGGGGGGGTGGTTCCTTTCCACTGATATTGAGAGGGCTTGCGCGCGAAAATGTGAAGCCGAAATTGAGATATTATTTAGCTGTCTAAAAGTAGGAAAGCTTTTTAATAAACTGTCAAAGTTTCAGGAGAAATAATGCATACTGGGAGCAACGCGCGACCCCTAAAGGTGACAAATATTTCATTGCGCGCAGTGGATTAAATGCATCGTTGATTTTCGCGTGACCGATCTCATGCAAGGCTGTGCAAATGAATAAATTAAAGCGAGAAACTGAACAAAAAGACGAAGCGATTTAATAACAAGATTTTTATTCGTTATGTTAATCCTCAACATTTCCACCATTTCTTTCTAAGCAAAGTGCGGCTCGTCTGAGCATGGTAAACACTGAACGGCGAACCATTTGTCTGTCCTGCCTCAAATTCTCCATTTCGTTTGAAATTCTTTCTTGCAAATCGCCTACTCTACCACCGACAAATCTAGGCGAATGGACAGACAAATGGTTCGCTGTTCAGTGTTTACTATGCTCAGACTAGCCGCAGTTTGCTTAGAATGAAATGGTGGACATGCTGAGGATTAACATCACGAATAGATCGCTTTGTTTTTGTGTTCAGTTTCTCGCTTTAATTTATTCATTTGCCCAGCCTTGCATGAGATCGGTCACGCGAAAATCAACGATGCATTTAATCCACTGCCTGCAATGAAATATTTGTCACCTTTAGAGGTCGCGCAGTGCTCCCAGTATGTACTATTTTTTCTGAAACGTTGACAGTTTATTAAAAAGCTTTTCTACTTTTAAACAGCTAAATAATATCTCAATTTCAGCTTCACATGCATTTTCGCGCGCAAGCCCTCTCAATATCAGTGGAAAGGAACATCCCCCCGGTAACATAATTTTGTTAATGAAAAACCAAACTTGACCAAGGTATACCAGATAAGTCTTAACTATCTCTACGAACACAAAAATTTACCAAATTCTGCAAAATATCCTGAAAAACGAAAATTTTACATTTGGGACATTTTTTTGATACACCCTGTATATATTCGACTAATGTGAATATTAACAAATAGCAATAGGTAAATGGCAATCGTTTTAAAACAATTAAGACAGAGAGCCTCAAACAACCTCATCCTCAACAAGACAAACAACCCTCATCTTCGATGCAGTCAAATGCCAAGGCAGACTCGGCTCACAAAGCTTGTCGGTTTCACAGCACGAGTTACGACTCACCTTCTTTGGATTGAAGTTGAAAATTGTTATCGGCACCAAGTTGTTTGTTTGTGCAGGTGTAAGAGTTGGAGTTTCGCTGCTTGGTACACTTGTACCAGGGTCTTTGAGCTCGCTATTGATGGTAGGTAGTATGTTGTCTTGTTCTGTTACAAATATCGTTGCCAAGACGCTCACAGGTAACGCGCCACTGCGTCCTGGTAAACTTGCGTAAAATGACAGGATGGAATCGCTTCCGTTTTGTGTCGGTGTGTTTGGGAGTCTCTTAATGTGGTCAGCGGTAAAATTATTTCTGACAGCCCTAGAAAAAAATTAATGTAGATATAATTAGGTATAGCGGCCTTTGAAGTTCTCTATAGAACACAGCTAAGTTTTTCGATTATATGAATTAAATGCTTGATTAGAACGATTCTGTAGAATATTGCACGACGAAAAGCGTTTTTTAACGGTATTCATGCATAGACCATAGACTACGAAAGCTGTAAAAGCTAAAAGCCCATTGTTCCATGGTATGTCCGTTGGGTATCCGTCTCGTTTCTATGATCAACGGATTAACACTGAGGACGGCAAATCAAGTACAGTTTTTATCATTTTATCTAGCACATATTACAGCTACAGATCGCTTTAGCCAATCCAACAGGAGCACGGTCACATTGTACTAACAATCATAAATGCGTTTATAACCAGACTTACTCTGAGATATTACAGATTATGCGATGATGATCTCCTCTTCCACAAAAGTTCTTGATGGCATCTGACATATTTTGTAGAAACTGCGCGTTTTGAACTGGCCACTAGATGAATTATTCAAAAGTATGAAATCTACTAAAAAGCGTAAGTCTGCCTTTGGAGAACTATAGACTAGGTGGGCCTATGTTGCGTAGGTGAATTCAAATGTGGTGGGGTGTTATATTATATTGTGAAACATTTACTGACGAAAACACGAATAGAAAGCCTTCATGTTAATTTATTATAAGGCTACAAATTAAACTTTCATTTATATTTTACATGTATAACAAACCTCATCGACTTGGAAATTTTTCAACACCACATGAATTGCGTTTTCGGTGAACAGTCGTGTTATTCTCAATTTAAGGCCGAGTATTTTGGTAGTGAAGTTTCCATTTATTTCCTCTTGGACATCAATGGATGAAATTGGTGATCCTTCAAGGTTGTCTGGATCTTTTACGACGAAGCTAACGTCTCTTGTGTCTTGATCAATTTGGACAACAATGTCGTCGTTGGTGAATGCCCTCATAAAATTAAAGATATTTACTTAAACTAAATAAAATTATGATTGGAAAAGCATATTTTCAATATGGCAAGGGCAATAGTGGGAACGTCAGGTGCGGAGATTAGGAAGTTAAGAGCATTCCTGCATTCTCAGCGCTCGTCTTTAAAAAAGGGACAAACTTCTTCAGTGCCATGAAAACCGTCTAAAACTGACAAAAAACCCTTCTCGAGGATTCGACCTAAAGGCCTTTGTCAGGAGAATGTGGTCATACTGATGTGTTTGGCTATTCCAGGTAGTTATACTGCGTGTATGTAAAGTTGTTATGGAAGGCTCCACTATCCTGGCTGCTGGTATGAAGTCGTTCTTATGCACGTCTTGGTCCCTAACCGACTAACACTTTTTAGATAAAACCTATTTAGCTAATTCATCCCAAAAGAAAGCTGGTAAATGCAGAAAATGAAATCGCTTTGTTCTTTGTTGTATATACAATTAAAAAAGAGCAGTATTAAAGTAAAATTTTGGTGTTGTAATTGTGAAGATGCGACAACATTGAACAACTGAACTGTGCATTGTGGTCCTGACAATTTGAAGTAGTTTATTGACAGGAATAGCGAACCAGCAAGTTCTGTAGTGAAAACAAAGTAATCGAGGATTTTTAGTTACCGCTTAAGAAAGATTCATCTGCTTTACTCCTCCACATGCAAAAATTGAAATCGTTAACCAACCTGCTAGTGGGACAAATGGTTGCCCCAGAATTTCTGCCACAATACTCCTTCAACCTGTCGGCAATCGCGACCTGGATATCTAACCTAACGGCATCATCGGGATGCTAAAATTAAAGAAAGTAAATAACTTTATAAAGATTCATAAAACGCATATCGCATATTCGAAGAAGAGGTGGGTGGGAATTTCCCGATTAATTTTTTTTCTATTCAACAGGCCCTCCAAAGGAAATAGTAGAATTAGAATTTTCCCTCACTCATGCGGTTGGCACATAAGCCTATGAACAAATTTATTTAATGGTGTTGTGCATGCGCTACAAAGGTAAATGAAACTCTTGATCATTCACTATGATGTCCAAATTTACCTTCGCCATACCCTCGACTGTAAGCTGTATGAGATTTTCCGTTTCCACTCTTGTAAGGTTGGTATTTTTGCTTGTTGAAACAATATCACTTGGTTTTGATAGAACATTTGCCGACACACTGTAAATAGTTGATACGAGACCAGAAGACATTGTTGTTCCATCTGGTAGATTAACGAAAAATGATAGTATTGCGTCGTTGCCATCTTGTGTGGGCGAATTAGGCAATATCTGTATATGTTGAAAACTTATTTGATCAACCTGGGCCCTAAAAAACAAAAAATAGCAAAAATTGATTAAAAAAGGTCTCACTGTCATAATGCAGAACAACTTATTTTGTTTTCCTATTCCTGCTGTATTACTCAAAACAAATAGCCAAGGGTAATTTTAATTTCTTATACGATCATATAAACAATATGCCGTTTTCTCCATGTATACGCAGTTTTCAACTTGAAGTCCTAAATTTCTATTTCAGTGTTCTATGCCAATCGGTTTTTGTGATGTTCAAAAAATGGTCTCAGCTTATGAGTCGAGAGTTCGTGGCGTAAACAGTTTTCTGTTTAACTTAGAATGAGCCTACCTCGTAAGATTGCACGAGGCCAATCGTGCGTCACTTTCACCACAAAATTGGATAATTGCTTGGGACATGTTGTGTCGGAATGAAATATCTTGTTGCAGTGTCCACTAAAAATACAATATGTGGTGAGTTGAAACTTTAGATGGTTGATCAAAACAAAGAAATGAAATGAGAGATACACATTAAATTTTCCGTGTTTACAAAATTGATAAACGTGCAATGAGATGAGTATGAAATTCGACATGGACGCATCCTAGATTTGTTTGTATAAAAGTTTTAATAAAAAAGTATTTTCTTATACATACTCTCATAATTTCCAATATTTCAAACAACTGAAGTGGTGTCCCATGTTCAATTTCACCAGTTCAAGATGTTATGCAGTTATTATATCTTGTATACAAGAACGTGCATATATTGTTATTTTACAACACGTGGAAATTATTTAAGTGAGGGTGGTTGATAAATATTTAAATGCCCGCACATATAAATCTCTTGCTACATCAAGTCGTATATAGGAGCTTGACTTGGTTATTTTATTTACATTTGTTTAATAACCAACATCATTTGCATATTCCTGTGCATGGTATATGAATTACTACACTTCAATGGCAAATATATACGGTGCAGTTTAGAGTATGTGGAACAATTCCTACCTGACTTGCATTCGTATTGGTTAACCTTACACTGGCTGCGTTATTTTCCTGAGTTTCCGATACAGTGGGCGTATTGACGACACCAATAGTGAGACTGGAAATATCTGATTCACCATTTTCTTGTAACGTTTGATGTAAAGCATCTTCAACAACATCGGTTTTAACGGGAGTTGTAGTTCCTGGTTCGTTGACAACTGCACCTACCACCGTATTATTCCCAGACTCCGTAACGTTGGCATCGACTATAACATCAGTTTCACTGAACTGTTGGTTGCTGAAGAAAGATTCCATGAATTGAAGGTCAGTATGAGAGTCTCAGAGTCAATGTACGTTGTTGTATTTATTGGTAAATATTTTAATTAAGAGTTTTATCCGTTTAACGTACCCGGCAGCTCTCTTTCTCCTTCGGCTAAATGTAAGATATAGAAATTAAGCACAAGATCACATGGCGCGTTCAATAATGGGCTGTTCACATGAGCCCGGTAAGCGAGATTTAACGCAGCGTTAGATGTACTTTGAGGGACTGAAATGAGCAAAAACATGCAATTATGCTGGTAGTCGTGTAGTCATCCTAACAATTTGGCTGGTTTCAAGACGAATTATTTCAATTCCACAAAATCGTAATCTCACGCTTTGTTAAATCTCGGGTAACAGGACGACTCTAAGGGCTGCTTTCCACTGTTGCGTTTTTTGCACGTACGTACACGCACGTAAAAGTCTTAAGTCTTTTAAATGATATTAGGGTTTGATCGTGTTCATGATTTAGGGTGTTTTTTCCTGGCATAGAATTAAACTTACAACAGCTTAGAGGTTTTAAGTATTTATGTGCGTGAGAATGTTGGTCAGATTCCAAAATCAGAAGAAGCATTTTACTGGTTCAGATACGCGGAATCAGAAACAATAATAAAATGGCTCAACATAGCTAGCTAATTTATATCAAATGCTATTTCTTCATGATAAGTTGCCAGCCTCGTACACAGGCACTTTAAACTAGTAAAATCATAGTAAAATAATTTATATAACGTTGCATTCAGTTGTTATATTGAGGTCAACATATTCAGGAACAGTTCGATATTTGAATTTCCAAATCATATAACAAATACTGAAAAGTTTTTACATTTTGAACGTTTTGGTTCTTTTGTTAACTTAGCCAGTCTAGGAAAACACTTTTCGGGGAAAAGGCGGCTATTTGCTTTCGCAATTTGGTAAATAAATAATATATAACACGAATGAAAATTGTTCAGACATAATAGTTATAGTACAGTTGTGTCTTTTTGAACCACCCTTCCCAATGCACTTCAAAATACGCATGGAAAATCTTAGTCATTAGACAGTGACATCTTAGTCATTGGACAAAATCAATGATATACATGTCGAGTGTGACTGTGACTGCATGATACGAATGCATATCCATCAGTCCATGCAATCGGTATAATGATGTGCATTCATTTGATGATATGGTAAATACGAATTAAAAAAATCAAGCTGAATTGGAACTTACCTAGTGCTAACAAAGAGACCGCATACATTTTCCGTTGTACTGAAACAAAATATGTTCATCCTAGCAGCCACCGTTACTCTAATATCGACCACTACCAACGTTGTAAACTATATAAAACGGTTGGAGTATAGTATAATAATAAGTATAATATTGCAATCCCGAGGTGCTTATACACTATGCAATTTTCCTTGCATGCAAGAGTCCTCGAAATGTTATAAAAGAAGTCAGCAGAGCGGAATAAAATGTTGTATTTACCAACTTAAGATGTCTCATGCAAGCGTAGAATTGCATTGCAAGTTGCATAAAAATTAGCATAGCGTAACAGCGCCTTTTGTTATATTCATTCCTGCGATCAACTCACTCCATAGTTTATATTCTGAACCTATTCTGATATTAGGGTTGGAACGAGTAGAATTAAATAGACTGCACTAAAAGTTTAAAAAAAAATAATTTCAGGCTTTGCATCTCCAAAAAGTTATTGCATGCGTGGAACCACATACGAGTATCTGTAAATTAGATCCTAGAGCAGTGACAGGAGAATATAACGAAGGGGGAGTAATTGACCCGAGATAATATCCTAGCAACATATTGTCCGCGAGATTTAGCATTGCAAACAACCCTTTTCCGCAGTCAACAGGCGCAATGCATGATGAATCGGCCAAGCCGCTCAGTTTTGCAGCACAACTCACCTTTGCACGTTTAAAATTGAAAATTGTTATTGGCACTAAGTTGTCTCTTTGTGGCGTCGTAAGAACTGGTGTTTCACTGCTTGGCACACTTTCGTCTGGGTTCTCAAGTTCGCTATCTAGAGAGAGAATATCTTCTTGTTCTGAAGTGAATATCGTTGCTAAGACGCTCTTTGGTAACGAGCCACTGCCATCTGGTGGTAAAGTTGCGTAAAACGACAATATGGAATCGGTCCCGTTTTGTGTCGGCGAATCCGGAAGCCTTTGAATGTTGTCAGCGGTAAAAGCGTTGCTGACAACCCTGGCAAGAAAAGATATGCGTTATATGAACTGAATTGATTTTCTAAACACTAGTTTCATCTGCCGACGTATGGCCGCCACCTACTCCTATGGCTATTTTAATTGTTTCCCTGAGGTAAAAATAGAATAACTTACTCTGAAATGTTACAAATATTCCGATGGTATGTTCCTCTCGCGCAGAAAGTCTTGATTGCGTTTGCCATGTTTTCTCGGAACAGTCCATCACGGAGAGACCACTAAAAGAGTTATTTAAAACAATATAAAAACCAAGAAATTTGTTCGATTAAAAAATATAAATAGGTATATTGTCAGGTATTTATCGCTGGAGTTTACGAAAAGACTGATTTTAAAGTTCGACTCAAAACGCTTTGAGCGTTTCGTTCTTTTTGAAATTCATTTTCAGTGCACGTGAACCTTTTGAAGTTTTACAACGTATTCATCACAACTTCTATACGAATTCATATTTGTAAAATTAAGAATCAAACCTGATCGGCTTGGAAATCTTTCAGTACCACCTTTATTGCATTTTGCGTATTATCCACCGTCGGTGGTTTTTCTGTAACAATCTCGACTGTCGTTAACACAGTGAGCTGCAATCCAGTATTTTGTTGAATAGAAGAAAGTTGTTCATTCATAATTAGAAGAAGAATGGCCTGTGATACAGTTCCACCTCCCGGATACTCGACGAAGAATTCTATTTTAGCATTCGCGCCATTCTGTTCTGGATTACCTGGGTTCACAAGTTTCACGTGGGAGCTCGTAAATGAACTTTGACCACTAAAATCATACACATTCACATTTGATTTATGTTCCATAAGTTATTAGGTTTTTCACAGTAAGAATGTAAGATGCAGACATGCAATGCGGCAGCCTCCCTGTACTGTAGACTAAGAGGTTCTGATAATGTAGTGTTTGTTTCTAAACCTAGAACGGTTGCTTTTATTAACGCTCCTATCATCTATAGTTACAGTGGAGCAACCTTGTAGAATAATGTGCCTGGATATCTCAGATTAACTCCACCGCTTTCATCATTTAAAAGATCTTTAAAATGCAATTTATCTTATCTATATATAATATTAATCCTATATTTCCAGCTTTGGTTAAACAGTAGTAGAACAAGGTAACCTGGTAGAACAGTAATATAGTCTTACCCAAAACAATTAACGATTTATTCTTGCAATGAAAACTGAAAATACTAGCCTCGACCCTTTTAATAATCTTACTACTTTTCTATCAAATTCTAGGCAACATCGAGATTTTTGAACAGGCAGTTTTAAGCAAATAACATTACCTTGGTAGTTCACATTCTTGATTTCGAGCTTGACTTGCTTGACAGAATTCAGTAATCGCCTGTGCTACGTATCCTCGGAAAGTCAAATCTTGTATAGCAGACCACTAAAAACAATTTAATTTGTCTTTGAAGTTCTCCTTTTCCATAAATGACAGTTCATTATAAGGCCTTCAATGCAAACGATCAAAGAGACGTCGCTACGAACCCCAAGCCTATTGCCTAGTCTTCGGAATTTGTGTCACTCAAGTCTAGCTTAGGCTGGCAAACGTGAACAGCCGAAGTGCATGGGCAAATAAAAAAATTTACCTTTTCTGCTTGGACGTTCCGTGCAGATATGTTAACTGCATTTGAAATTTGATCCGCAGTGGCTGTTGATGATGGTTTGGGAGCTAAGGTGGAAGTTTTTAATGATATATCCAGCTCCGTTGCGTTCCTAAGCTGTGCAAGTCGTTCGGCTAAAATTCCTGCCAGTAAATTTCGTTGCACTGTTTTGTTGCCGGACGGGTAATTAACGAAGAAGGTGTAAGTGACATTATCACCATCTTGTACCGGGGAACCTGCAATTCGGGTAACGTTCGATAATCCAAACGACACTTGATCACTAGGCAAAAGAACGAGCTTTATTTAATAAGACAACTTTCACAAGTGAGATTATATCCCAGTAGAGGGAGAACGCTTCTGCCCTATAGCACTAATTTACGAAACATCATGTACTTTGAGGCATTCTATTGTCACCATCTGATTGCGCATGTCGATACAGTCGGCATTGTCATGTGAAAACCAGACAACGTTGATGGAAACGTTAATAACTAGTACCGGAAAACGAAAAGATTGGAAACACCTTTTTAACCTTTTCCGAGGTAACTGAACATGGTAATTCATCTGTTGAGCAAATTGCGTCTTTACCTTAATTTCGATTCGAATTTTGAATGTCAAATGAGAGGTGATTCTTCTTCATACGGATGGTTTTTGTGGGTAGCCTGCGCATGCGCGGCTAACCACTATGAAGTCGAAAAATTGTCCGGATGTATGTTTGTGTGTGGGTGCCACACACTGAGTAGTGCCATATCTTCGGCAATCGTCGGATATACGAAAGATGACGAACGGTACGTTCGTTTTACGATTGCCTATGGTTCTTCTACTTCCGGAAAATTTCGTTGTTTTCGAAGAACGGAAGCAACCGAAGTCACGTTAATACGTTTGTTAAATTTTAAAGCGAAGGTGAGTACTTTAAAGACGAAAAAGCAGTGATAGGTGAGCGTTGATTCTACAACTACAAAGTTACACTAATAGAAAATAAATAAAACATTACTTTATTCGGCAAATGGCAGTAACAAGTTGCCCTGTTTTATAAATTATAATGAAATATTTAAACTGTCAATTTCTTGCTTGTGGACATGCAGCTATTAAACCAAGTACATAACCTTATTGCAAATGGTAGTAACAAGTTGCCCTGTCTTATAAATTATAATGCAATATTTTACTTATCAATTTCTTGCTTGTGGACATGCAGCTATTAAACCAAATGCTTTGGAGTTTAAAAAGAAGCTTGAACATAACTAACAAAACATAAACAAAACTTTTAACACAAGTGCATTTCAAGTGAACAAAAATCTTTAAAATAGTGTTCAGACACATAGATGAGTCCTTTAAAATTGTTGTGCTGAAATGTTTGAAACAATTTTGGACTCTTTAAGTTAATAATGTTTTACAGGCTACCCTCATGTACGCATTGCGTACCTATTTTTATAAATTATACCGGCAATTTCCTACATATTTACAAATATGGTCATGAAGCCTGGTTCTCATATAATATCTATGTAAATGATTACGGCCTCGAAATCTTTGTTATTTTGTCATCGACACGTGACAATATATCGGCGACGTATGTGAATTTGGCTTTAGTAATTACAACTACTACATTAGACCTGATATCGTACCTTGAAACACCACAGACAACGAGGTTGCCGGCGCAAAAACTTCCAACCTGTGTAGCTATCGCAGCTCTCCACTTGTTATCTACAAAACTATGCCACTGAAAAATAAAGAAAATACATTTTCTTTATTCAAAAGTGCAACTAATTTATTCAATATATATATATATATATATCACAATTAAAAGCAACAAAAAATTTCACTATATACATGTGTTTCAAACGAGCACGTATTTTCTTATCGTTATTTTGTATCAGTCAAATGACTATCGTAATTTCACCGATTTTATTTGATCGAAAAACCGTTTTCTTATATATCGCAAAAGTCTCATGCAATAATTGTCATTACGTACTTGGTTAGCCTGTTGACCAAGGATCGTAATTACGACTGTATTGCTTGATTGGTCGGCATTTGGCGAGGTTGGAGCCGGAAGTTCCAACGATGTTTGCAGGGAGAAGAAGAGTGATGATTCAGATTGCATTGCTTCTATCTCAAGGTAGACGATTGAAGCCAATACATTCTTCGTTATTGGATTACTTTCGCCGGGGTATGTCACGTAGAAACTGTAATCAATATTGTTGCTTCCAGCATTAGTGGGAGTTCCAGCTGAAGAACGTTGAACATCGGATTCACTGAACGATGCTGAGCCTCTGCGAAGTCCAAAAAAAAAGAAACAACAAACGCGATTTAGTGCAGGGGAACCCTCGACGTGCGCTAAGGTTTGCTGAGGTGAAAGAAAATGCATTATGTCTAATTAAAGTAACATTAATTTTTCAACAGTTAAAAACAACAATCAGTAGCGACTGTAGCGTATCCAGCCTGACGATTTGTCCTGCTATGCTAATATTTCGGATTTCTTTGACTGTGAAAACAATAAGTTTCTAAAGACATGAATAATTATAATAACTCGAAATTTACATAGCGGACAAAATCGTCAGGCTGGCTACGCTATTATGGACGACAATATGCAATGGTAATGCTCGTGAATTAATAATGAGTATCATGTACCCGGATTGTACTTGACAGTTCGCCAGATTAGCACTGCAGTATTCAGCAATTCTTTTTGCAATGGATTTCCTTAATCGACGGTCATACAAGTACGTCCACTATTAAAACAAATAAAGAAGTAAAATCTATTAGAAGCAGCAGTGATATAGTATCAAAAAAATCAAGAAAAACGGGTACAGTACTGTCCAGAAATAACCGAACACTGCGGTTGCGGTTCGGCTGCGGTTACGTCGCGGTTAGATCACGGTTAGGTTGCGGTTAGATCGCGGTTAGGTTGCGGTTAGATCGCGATTAGGTTGCGGTTAGGTTAAGGTAAGGTTAAGGTAAGGTTAAGGTAAGGTTAAGGTTAGATCGCGGTTAGGTTGCGGTTTGGTTACGGTTAGGTTGCGGTTTGGTTGCGGTTAGATCGCGGTTAGGTTGCGGTTAGGTTGCGGTTCGGCTGCGGTAGACCGATAGAAACTGCAGACGACCGCAAGGGAAAACTGAATACGATCGCGTTTGCCGTTCGCTTCCGAACGGAATGTTATGAACAGCTGAGAACACAACAACACAATAATCATATCGAAAACATCTTAAGAAATGTCTGTGTGACAGAGTTAGGCCTAGGTTAAACCTCCGTCTCACCGCGGTTCGACCTCGTATGACCTCGGTACAACCGCGATCAAAACGTGGTTTTACTTAGGTTAACCGCCGTTTTTTTGTGTTATCTCTGCACAGTACTGCAGTTCCCGACTAGAGGAAAATGTTTTCAAGGACAAAAAATTTCTGGTTCCTCTAGACCAGGCCATAAGAAAATTACTTTTAACATTTATAATAGCTGAGTGAAAAAGATTCACACTCACGTTTAAGTCCGTACGCGCATGTTAAAAAGTATCCTGACAAAAATTTATCATCCCTGGCAATTCTGGGTCGCAGAACCTTGTAATAAACATACCTGACTCGCGCCAAACGATGCTATTCGAATGACCACGCTGTTAGTTGTTTGCTCACTAGTTGCAACCGGAGGATTAGCCGGTTCAGCAGAAGTCTGAATTTCAACTTGTTGTGACAGTGCAATCTCAAGGTCTGTCTCTCGAGTCACTAACATTGAAGCAAGTACATTTCGAAGCACGGGATCTGAACTGCTCGGGTGATCTACATAAAATGAGACCAAGACGTCTCCTCCACTTTGGGATGGGGAACCGCTCAGACGTTTTATGTGACTGTTATTGAAGCTTTGCGACCTGGAAAGGTGAATGAAGGAAAAATGCGAAGTTGAAATCCAGTGAATATGATTCGCGAAAATCACGCGGGGCTTAAAATGGTATTCGTCTCAGAGTTGGATCATCACCATTTTTTTAATCCTGTGTTACCATTGATTAGTTTTATTTTTCGACCGTAGTTAATTTTTTTTACATTTTAGTGAAGTTTTGACTGATGGGTTTGCATCAGTCGCGTCATTCTACACCGGTTCGCCCTTGGCTAATTCTCAGAAGATTTTTTATTTGAAATTGTTTATTATGAAATCGTTTCATTAAATGACAAGAGTGCATGGTATTTCTAATTATCAAGAGTCCTTGGGATATAAGTATATGGCCTATTCTCGTCTTGTCGTGCCTAAAAGCAATACGAATACCGGGAAAAATATGCAGGAACAAATTTTTCCCTGAAGATTAATTAACGTTTAGCTACTTACTCGGTAAGACCGCAATCTTGCGAGCGCGAGTAGTTATCCATTCTGCAGTATTTGTTCAGAGCAAGAGCAACTGATCGTCGAAATACGGTGTCGTAAAATATTGTCCACTGTAATAATAATGATAGAGATCAATGAGACAATAGACCTTTTCGGTCACAACATTTTAACATCACAAGGTTTTAAATCTAGAACCATCTTAAATGAAATGGGTTTCAAGTTTTACTCTCACGAGTCTCGTGCAAAGATGCAAAACATCCTTCTTCAACACATGCATGGAAATATATTTTTTGTTTTGACCAATAAATGTGCAAATAAGTCACAACACGAGAACGAAGCTGAGTGGCCAAGACCGCGAGCCTCGTTCCAGCGTCATGGCTTATTTCCCCACTTGTTCGTCAAAATGAAAATTATGTTTTATGCACGGGTTGAAGAAGGATGTTTTGCATCTTTGTACATAGCTTGTGAGAGTAAAACTTGAAATCCATCTCATTTAACGTGGTTCTAAATTTAAAACGATAATGTTTTGTCGTAATTACCGAATATGTCCATTGAGATGCTGGTACCTTACATTTCGAGTGGACTATATTGGGATGTATTTGTTTAATTGTTATATACCTGATTTGGCGAAAAATCTAATATTTTCAGTTGTACTGCGTTACTAATCTCATTCGCAGTTGGGGTACCAGGCGTTTCGGGTAGGACGGAAGTGTCCAGGGTGACGTTTAAACTGATCAGCTGTTCAAACTTTGCCAATTCTGCGAACACGATAGAAGCTAAGATGGTTTTGTCAAGCGTCTTGTTTATGAATATGGTGCTTGGATAATCGACGTAAAACTTGATTATTGCGTTATTCCCCGAATCCTCCGGGTAGCCAGGCAACCGCTTAACGAGCTTCTCGTTGAAAAATAGCTGGTTTCTATAAAAAAAACACAGATAACCAGTGTAAATGTCAATTCGTTTTTTAACATAAGATTTTGATCCACGTATATGCAGTCGTAGTCTACGCTATAGTTATCAGCATAATTTTCCTCCACAAGAAATCAAGGTTTATACATGAAAACATGTTTCAAGGTATAATACAAACGTATTTTTTAAAAAACTCATATAGCCAACACTATAATAGTATTTTAAGAGATGTGTTTATGGATTTAAGTTGCGGGATGATGCATGAAACGTTTTCTCTCGTTTAAAGGATATTTAACGATACATCATCCTTTTTGGAGCTTTTTGCGGCTATTGTAGCTATCTCGATTTTCTGTGGCATCTCCGAACAAAAACTTCCCCAAACTGAATCCTTAACATCATTTGCTTAAACTTTGTGAAAATATTTATATTTGTTCGAAAATATTAAAAAAAAAATTGTGGCTTTTTGTCAGATATTCCGACATTTGTACGGCGGTTGAGGTATACAAAGAGTTCCAAGCAACGCTCCCAGGTTGAAGACCGGAATAGTTCAAAGACGAGCGGAAAGATATATTTTTGACGTTTCTTTTACAGATTTCACACATTAAATATGTTGCATGCCTTTGTGCTATGAAAGAGAACACGCGAGACTTCATAGTTTTTCCAGCTAGGGGATGTCACAAAAACCTATAGTAGTGTCTTGATAAGTTTAATAAATAGTATAAATCACGATGGTAATCACGATCCTAAACACCCAACTATAGTTAAACTTACTGTTCAACTCCGCAATCTTGTGGCCTGAGCGTGTTCTCATTACAAAAGTCATTCAGCAATTTAACAACAGAGTCTTTAAATCGCACGTCAGCATCCAAAGTGTACTAAGCAAGATCAAAAAGAAATAACGACGCAATAAATAACTATATAAATTTGCATAGTGGCAACTATATACATAGATAGAGGGATTGTGTATTTTTGCACTTTGAATGCACAATTAAGACGAGAATGGAAAAATAATTAACAAAAAATCTTTAAAGGTGAATTTTTTCAAAAGTCTTACAATAAGTGAAGAAACTTTGAGACTCTGAGACTGATTTTATTTGTGCATTATGAAGCAAGCGTTTCAGCTTTTCTAAACTTACATTTGAGTTCTGATAGTCAGCCAACGTTATTTGAACGGCGTTATCTATCTGATCTTGTCTGGCGCTTGGCGGTGCTGGAGCCAGATCAGCCACAATGTTGTTATCTTCTTTGACTAAAAAGTGAGCAGAATTTACTTTAATCACAGTAAATAAGATTTTTTAAAATGATAAATACTATAGTAGAGATCGTGGGACACCTAAAGTCGCTATTTTGCTTAGCATGAACGGGATAGAAAACTTTTCGTGCACGAAAGTAAGGGGAATGAGAAGGAGAATGAGAATTTTAGTTTGCTCAGAAAAGTGACGCAAAAAGTTTTGGATATATTCATAAGAGAACAATACAGGGTGAGTAAAAAAAACTGACGCCTTTGAAATTCAAATTAGCTGCAATGTGTCTGTAATCGTCTGTAAACAGTGTAATGAGACGGAAGCTGCCTAAATAATCTTATGGGTATACGAAGCATATCAAATAAGTGAACCCATCAATTAGGTAGAACATAAAGTTTGTTCCCTTTGGGAGTTAAAATGCATTCTAAGCACTGTAATAAAAAATGACGTAGAATTAGTTTAATGGGAATTGTCAAATTCCAGCCATAAGTTCGCGGCTAATTTGAATTTCAAAGGTGTCAGTTTTTTGGACCAGGAACTGGTCCCCACACGCGGCTAATCTTGTTGTTGTTGTTGTTGTTGTTGTTGTTGTTGTTGTTGTTGTTAGGGGGTGACGCTGTTTAAAAAAGCCTAAGGCTCCGTTAATTCGCATCAGATCGCAATTAAACTTCGCACAACTATCCTGAGCGATTTTTTTATTTTAAAGAAATTTAGAAGCAACTCAAAATTGTAGCGTAGTAATGCGTATAGATTATATTCAATAATCTAAGGCTCCGTCATTTCGCACCAGATCGTGATAAAACACACAACTATCTTAAAGGTTATTCTCTATCGACTTACGGAGTTAAATTGTTTGTGTTTGTATTCTGCAGAAGATTTGCAAGCCATGTCAGATTGTGACGGGAGGCAAATCTTAATATAATTAATATTCATATATGTACAGGGTGTATCAAAAAAAACGCAACCACTACTTAATATTCATGAATATCCTCTTTGTTCTATAACACAAAAGACGTTTGGCCCCTGGAATGCGAGAAAGCTTGTAATCATATTCTAGGCACAATCGTCGGTAAACAAAGTCGGGTGCGTAAACCAACGAGCTGAATTGAATGTATTTAACGAGTAAAATTTTATTTACAATTTATTTTACAAGGTCGACAGTTAGCATTTAAGTTATCATGCACGACAATAAAAGCTCGTTGTTCGGTTGTTAGCTTCACCATTATTAGTTTAGCTGATTTGACTATTAGCAGTTGAACTGTACGATTAGAAGCCATTTTAAAATCCCAGTGGCATAAAATCTATTGAGCTTTTTGAGACACCCTGTACTATAAGTTCAAGCCAGAAGGTCGTGTATTTTCTTTGTTTTGTACACAATATATATTCATGACTATAGGACCATTGCGTTAAATGCTTTTCTCTCTAGGGCATTTCTTATTTTTTATTTATTTGTTTATTTGTTTAGGGTTTGCCCAGCATACATATACATAAAAAACGAATATAATGACAGTGGCACGGTGCACGCAACGCTATAGCTTCTCGCCAGCTACAGCGGCATAGATTAGGACATAGATGTGCAACTCGGCATATCTTAAATATCTTTGTATTGAAAGCAGATGAAAAATGTAGAAAAGCAATAATTTTAACATAACCGCACGATTGCCTAGGTTCATAGATATTTGAAATTTCATCCTGGAGAGAAAGATTGAATCTATACTTCTCCAGTTCCTGGTCCAATAGTACGATCGTACTTGTTTTTACTCACCCTGTACAACAGAACAATGAAACAATAAGATAAACATATAGGACCCTATTTGTTTGCTCAAGGTAAAACCCTATAATAAAACTTTTCGTTTGTTGATTTTCGCGTTCTTTATATATTTTTTGAGAAAACATATTCAGGATCGATTGAGGAGACATCCCTTGAAGTTTGCATCCCTTGAGATTTTGAGAACAGAATAGATCGGCCGTGATTTTTTTGTATAACTGAGACCTCCTTATTCAAACACGGGCCTCCCCCTTCTTCCGAACACAATTAACCCATGCAGTAACATATATGCACGCGGGACCCAACCCCGCGGTACTTACATATACACGTTCCATTAACTCTGACCATGTTCAACCTCTTTGCACAACCGCATCTAAAACTTCCGGGAATATTTTCGCATTCTTCCCCCACCCCGTTACAGACGTTTGATTGATCTTCAAGACATTCGTTCTTATCTGAAAATGTGGTGAATATTATTTATCAAAACCATGCACGTACATAACCAAATTTGAAGATTGCCTGAAATCTGTGATCTCAAAGGATGTAATTTCTTAATATCTAGGATTATTATTTTTCACTCCTCAAACTACTGTATTCCGCAAACTTTTGTTCAGAGTATGTCCGATGTGTCAGAGGGACTCAAGCAACCGTTACACAATATACCCGAAAATTACCGCTATAATGACGCATGTGCGTGCATAGAGGGCCCTTTGTTGGGATCATGCATGCATGGATAAATTTATACCCACTCATTCCACTGGATACAGTGCGGATTTATTTACAGTTACAGAAATTCTTTATGAGATTTTGTAGCTTCATATATGTGGCTTATAGCTTTTTATATAGCATTTCATTTTTAAGACGATTAAAAAAAATTACTGTCCCGTGGATAAGTTTTTATGCTCGCAGCATTGCTATAGATTGTATATTGTTAATATTGTTTCTAAAGTTTTTTAAATTGTTAAATCTTCTTCACACTTTTCAATGTTAACATTTTATAGATCTTGTAGCATAATTTGCCTTCCGGTATTTCGTTGAAACGGCAAAATGAAAATGTTTAACGGTGCTGAGATGGCTTTTTCAATGTGTTTGCATGGAGCTACGAACGGGTTTGCATGGACCTATACGACGTTTTTCAGAATCGTTTGAATGAAAATCTCAAGCGCTTAAACGCCTGTACTGACAATGCTTATAATCGCCCGTACTTTGATCGTTCGTCAACAAAAGTGCGTCAACGAATGTTTTCTCGCAGGCATGCAAGAAGGTCATGCACTTTTGAGATAATTATTGTTGTTTTACAAACCTTCACAAGAAGTTGGGCCCGTGGAGACATATCCCGACAAACATGAGCATGTGTAACTGCCCAAGGTGTTTTTGCATTCTTGATCACAAAGGTTGCCTTGTGTGGTAGCACATTCATCTACATCTAAAATGCAAGGGAATTCATATTTAAGTAATAATATGTGCAGTACATGTATCATTGGCGCCAGCGCGTATTAACCTTTTGCTGCGATGTAATTTAAATAAACCTCAATCTCATTAAAACTATATAAATATATATAAATATATATATATATAAATATATATACATATATATATATATATAACATATATATAATATTATATATATATATTATATATATATATTAATATATATATATATATATATTAATATATATATTGGCAGGTAATTAGAAACTATCTAACCTTCACAAGTTGTTGAATCTGTTGCAAGACGGTATCCAAGATTACAATCACATTTCTCCTGTCCAACCTGGAGCGGATCAATAAAACAAATCTGCTGACATGGATTGCTTTGATCACATTGCGTTTTTGCTGAAAAGAAATGTAACTTAATGTTAATTTTTCACATTCGATTGTTTCGATCTTCTTGTTCAGAAGAACAATAGAGCCCGTTTTCCACTAGGCGAATTTGATATCCGAAATCCGGTGATGTGATTGGTTTGCGAAAAAGTAGAATCGCTCCCTACTTTTTATCTGTTTGCGAGGATAAATTCGCCTATACAGTGGAAAACGTTCTTTAAACGTGAGGCAATTTTTTCTTTGCAGGTTTCTTCCAAATATAATGCACCTAATCGAGCTCGAATTAACTCACGGTAAAATAAATATATTACATATTACCTGTACAAGACTTGGCGTTGTCAGGATCGGTCAAGAATCCGATCCTGCAATAGCAATTATATGAGCCGATTGTGTTGTTGCACAGCTGACTACAGTCGTTGGCTTTGGCGCATTCGTCTATGTCTATACGAGAATATAAATATATTAATATTATTAAAGTCTAAATCTTGCTACTTAAAAATTTGTTTTTTACAGTCAGTAATATTGTTTCCGGTTTGAACACTACAAAGTCATCTTGTGTAGCCTGTTGCATATTAAGTAACATGCATTTTCTTTATAGGCTAATAGTTAAAGAACAATTTGTTTGTGATACATGCTCGGCAACATTAAGATCAATAGTTAATGAATTGTATTCTAATATATAAACACGTATATGTAACCTTACCATTACACGTTTTTCCATCACTCAAATCTAATGAGAATCCATCATTGCACCCACAAAAGTAGGAACCAGCTGTATTGGTACACTTTTGTTCGCAAACAGTCTCATTAGCTCCGCATTCATTGATATCTAAAATAATGTTATAACATGGCATCCTTGGACATTCTCTTTTTTTTGCTCAAACCAATATTTTTTGGAAAATAAACGGACTTTCAAGCAATATTAGCTAAAACGGTCCCAATACCTTTTGAGAACATTCTACTCAGTCAGGTTTATAAATTTTGCTACCATGCAGCCAATCAGCAAAACAGAGCATTGGTTTTCATTCACAAGAAAATTAATGACAACTGCATAGAAATATAATCTTCATGTGTGTGTAAAACAGTAATAGACCCTTCATAAAAAGCTAAAAAATACTAAGAGATGATGAAAATTGTTGTACCAACCACTACAAATAGCTCCATCGCCTTCGTATCCTTGAGGGCAAGTCCCACAAGTGAAGCCCGTCGGAGAGTTGGCGCACGTGACCAAAGGATGACACGGCGGTGTCAAATGTCCCCTGCAGAAATCTTTTACGGTTTCACAGAATTCCCCAGTGTAACCAAGCGGGCAATTACAGGACATAACGAGAAAAGTATTTTTGATAGCTGCCGTTTGTTCTGACGATGCTTCAGGAACAAAGCATCCGCTACCGTTTAGACACCGGCAGAGTTGGATGTATGGAGAAAGCGTCGTACTTGCGTTTTTTGTATCTTGAACCAAAAATGTTATATTGGCCTGCGAGTAGAAGAATATAACTAGTTTAAATGGTGACAAAATTCACTGCAATTTTTTGGGAGTGGTCCAATAATTTTATCTAGCTGCACTTTTACGAGGAGACGCTGTAGTGAATTTAAAAAAATGGATTTGCAGAGTTTTTTAGAGAGAACATTTGGGTTATTAAAATTAAATGAGTAAATTGGAATTTTTGCTAGAACACAATTCTTCGTGTGAGAATGCAATACATACCGGATCAGGAGAATCCACAGGCCAAACGAAAATCAATTGATTGCCATTGGTTGTATATGTTGCACCAGGTGGAAAATTTGGAACGTCAAACATAATATCATCGCCATCCGGATCTTCGGCTTCAAGTGTTATTGTGAATGTCTCTCCTAAGGTAACGTTGATGACAGTCAAATTTTCTTTGAACACCGGTAGATTATTTTCTGTGAGTAGAAAAAAATTATGTATAAATATATTAACGCCGTTATTTAACGCCAACTACCTGCGACTCGTCTTAGGATTAAACCATATGTTATTTTATGATATGGGTATTATTTAAATCTAAACTCATTTTCCCCTCATATAACTGTTTCACACATTTCCCGCTTATTTCCCCCTCTTTTTACATATTGAATGATCAAGTCTATATATGCACCATCGTTCGCATGAAAAGCTGTTCAATACAAAGAGAAAAATATTACTGCACCAAGTAGCTATATACTAACCAATTTCTGCGACTTCATTGTTTATAGACGTGATTTCTGTCAGCGTTGATTTTCCAATTGCAACATCGTTTGTTGCTGCGATGTCAAAAAGACAGGTGACATCATTACCACAAACACTTTCAGCTTCTGCTCTCAATGTTTCGTTCATATCTTTTATTGCTTGGTCAAAAAATATTGGAACAAAACTGCTTGGACATTTGTACGCAGGTGTATCATCATCTATGTTTCGGTATATTTTTTCGTCTTCATTTACTCTCCCTAAGGATTAAGATTTATGATGCATTAATTTCTCGTTAGGGTGCATTCAGAATATAACTATCTGCCTATAGCAGTGTACTTACACGCTTCCCCGAACTTATGAAATATATCAGAGTCACTCAAATCAATTGGTAAAGCTGTTCCATTTGGTAACGTGAAGTCGTCCTCTATTTTCCCATTCCATTTTCCTGCTAATCCAAGTGATGAGTTCTCGTAAGATTTTAAAAACGATGTCACGAATGTAAAAAAAGTGCCGTTTGCTGCTTCATTGATTCTTACTCCATTTCCAAGAGGTGTTCCAACCTCAAATGTGTTATTGATATAAGATAGAGTAACACCACTCTCTAGTGTTGTTGCATTTGAACCCGGAGTGAACTCATTACCATCAACATGTACAAGCAGACCACCTTAATAAATAAGGAGAAACTTTATTACTATAGAATACCGTTCTTGATTGAATTCATTTGTAATGTTTTTTAACTTTTTTTATTTGATGGAAGTGTAGTAGATTTTTCAAAACCCGTCAAAACATGCATTACTTATTTCTGCCAGCCTGTTTTCATTTCTGGAATGGTTTTAGTTTCACATGCACATACCTCCTTCGTTTAGGTTTATTTGAACGGTTTCCGAATTACCCTCCTTGACAGCAATTCCTGTAAAGCCAGTTGCATTAACATTTCCAACCCTTGTTGTGCGAACTTGCACCACAAGAGAGCTTTCGTTGGTACCTGTTTAAAAATACAGTTGAATAACGAAAATAAGTTATTGTTTTCATCATTGGCTTCTAAACCTGTAATCTTTTTAGGTGAAATCATGTGATATTATGTGAAACTCAAAATTCACATGAAATCACATGTGACATTTCACATCTCATTAAAAAGATTTCACATACAGTCACATGTGAGATGTCATATTATGTGAAAGGATTTCACATGAAATTGAAAGCGAAATTTCACATGTGAAAAATTTTCACATAAAGTTACTTGATATAAATTTCACATGTCAAAGGTTTCACTTATAATCATACCAGGCAACCACTGTTAAAAAGGCAGTTAGCTTATTCGCTGTTTGTTTCTAGAGTTTAGTCATTGAAGTCACGTGTTACGAAAGCGTGAAGTTTTTGTAAACAATGCTTCTCGGTTTTTTATGTCTGAACTTTCGAGTCTTCAAGAGTAAACGCCTGTATTCTAAAAGCTCACTCACACTCAAACTCATTGAGTGGGAGATCTTAATCCTCTCATAACGTTTCAATGGCGGTATTCCGAGTCGAATAGAGGTTTGATTTTCAGTGATTTACCTTATATCTTTCCATCTATTCAGAGAAAACTTTCTCATTGATCAGCATTAACAAAATTTATATGTCACACTCCATGAGTGTGAGTGTGAGTGAGCTTTTTGAATACAGGCGAAAGAGTGTTAAAAAACTTCTATGCATAAATTCATCAATCATGAAATCTCCTCATTCACAGGTCAACTAACAATACTATATATAGCAATGAGCAACTTATCATCCCGCAGGACGGTATATAACTGGAACAATTTCAATAGGAACCTTTGGCTATCTGGACAACGATAGCTGAAAAGGCCCTCTTTCACACTAATCGGAATGGACACTACTCGCAAGCTCGCTTCGTGAGAATACTTAGTTTGTCTTGACTTAAGTACCAAAGTTGCGATGACCTGAGAAGAGCCTTATATCATGGAGATTTGATGAATCAAAATACTACATAAATATTTAAAACTCCCTAAGGGGAGGGGGTTGTTGTATTATCCACAATATTGAAGGGACTTTTTTCTCCAGTGGTAATCGCCGACTGTTGGAAAAGCTTAAATGATGCATGGCTCAATATAGCTTCGAAAAACGATTCGAACGCCAACTATTTTCAAAATGCTGCATTTTTGTTAGAATTTTTTCTGACCTGGCATTTCGCCTTTGAAATACGTAAACCATCCACAGCCATTGAATGTGTAGTTTTTCCCATCGAGTGAAATAAAGTGTGGATCACCAAACATGCGCCCTAAAGTAAAATGGTTTTAACAAGAAGTTACAGCCTTACAGGCAAAGAAAGAAATTAGGGGAACGCGATGTTATTATCAAGGCCAGTAGCGTAGCCAGCCTGTCGATTTGTCCCGCTATGCTAATATTTTAGTGTTCACTGACTGTGAAAACAATAGATTTCTAAAGACATGAATAATTATAATTGCTCGAAATTTACATAGCGGGAAAAAATCGTCAGGCTGGCACTGATCAAGGCTACTTTTCATCATGGCAAGTTTTAGACTGTATGAGTGATTGAAAAAACAAGGTCATACTACAAAGACCAAACGTGAGGCTACTGAGAATCCATATACCACTAAATCCAAATTGAAACACGTTAAAACGCATAGTTGAGAAATATATGCTGTTGTATAGTTTTTCCTGGCATTCCCTCGCTGTAAAAGGCAATAAATTAACAAAGCGTAGCTACATGTGACTTACCAGCAACAATGACTTACCCCATCTTGACGGGAATCTCCAAAAAAGACTGGTGCATGGCGGGCGAATACTGTAAAATTTCCCGCACGATTGCCGAGTGCTATCTAGTTTGGTGCAGCAATTTTCGTAAGCGTTCTCCTCCTCCAAGTACTTTTGGAAGTTCCGGGACGGATGGTATAGACGCCAGTAACCTGCACCTGGTCCTGGCGCGCTGTAAAGGGGATAGCCAAGCCACCAAACATTTAGATAACAGCATTCGTCTGCATCTATCCGTCCCCAACGAGCACTTAGTATACAGAAGGTGTCAAAGAACCTGATATTTGTCCGTTTAAACCTTCGCCATAATGCCCAAAAACGTCCGCGCAAACTAAGCCGAGCTAATCTAAGCGTGGGGGCACATCCTAGCTTACAAGATCTTCTTGTATTCCCACTGAACATCTGTTCATTTACCCACTCGGAACATTTTTCAGCACTTGTTGGAGGCTTTACGACCATTTTTTTGAGACTATACCCAATTTCGCCTCGCCTTAGTAAGTTGGGATTAAAATAATCATCAACCTCTTCTGCGTTAACAGTACCGGAACTAATGTAAGACAATAAAAAAGGCATACTTAAGAATTTTTAAATTTTTAGGTAACTTTATATATAGATTATATGGACTTTAACAATGGTACAGAAAGGTATATATATATATATATATATATATATATATATATATATATATATATATATATATATATATATATATATATATATATATATATTGGCCTGGATATAATGCTGGATGGATAGAGTTTTTATAGATGGTGTTTTTAGGGTTTTATAGAACGTTTATGGAACGTTTAGCGAAGCAGGAAATCATTTGAAATGTTTTGGTCGTTATTTGTAATAATAGAGTAAAATACCTATTATACCACGAACTGAATCATTGTAATCAATAATTTTCTGTATATCAGCAGTAATTAGCTTCTTGCAAGGGCTTATAAGTTGCGGTCTTACCTTTCATAATTTTTGTACGGCTCTTTGTCATCTTTTTGACCAGAATTATAACCGATAACAGGCAAGTCACTCGTTTCGGCCCAATTTGAGTACATGTCCCTAGTTAAAACATGCAAGAATGATCATGTATAGCTGTTGTATACACTGCACAGATATACATGCACATGCATTATAAATTATATAGTGATAATTGTGATATGATCTATAATCAGCTATAACTTCGCTACGTTACCTGTTCACTCCGATTGACCAGTCAATGTCCTTGTAAATATAGACGACAAGTGCCTGATTTGACTTACTGGTAGCCAGGAATAGTTGAAAAGTGTTTCTCTAAATGTTGACAGAGAGTATACAGCTATTTGCAAGGCACCGTTACTCACGTTTGTTTACGTTTCCAACTTTTATGTTTAACCGGAAACGTTGAATGTTAAACCATGAACCAATCATGGTTACCACTCGATTAGGTAAGTTCTAAAGGTTTTTTAAAGGGTCTTAATTTCGAGTGGAATACACAAACTGAATTCAAGCCAGGAACAGTTATGCGATGCCGGTCAGTGCAGTGAGCTACAGAGGTAGCTGACAAGAGCAAGTGTGGTTAGTCATTTAGTGTGTATTCTAAGGTACAATTTTGTGCCACTTTTCAATCAGATTACCTGTCGAAATATCACATTGTAACCTAGCTGATTGGTTTATAGTTCAACAATCAACTTTTCCGACTAAATCTAAAAGTTTGAAACGTATAAAAAAATGTGATAAAAACTTTACGGTTAACGGTGGCTTGCAAATAGCTGTATAATAACTGCATGTGATTGTTGACCGAGCTTGAGAGGTCTGTACTGTGAAATTTCAGATCGAGGTTTTTTAGTATGGACCGAGCGACGAATTGCGAGGCTGAACTGCATGAGACATCCGGAATACGGAAGATGCGGACTACGGTCCGGATATGGGTTTTTACGGACCGCTCGTCAACGAATCAGAATAGAGGATCTTGAAAAGCCATATTATAAGAAATTACATTCAATGGCTTTAGTTGAAGGTGAATTATCGAAGCTAAAGTTCGTCGTGCCCAACTAGCAAAGTGCTTCGATATTTTCTGACGCAGCTAACATTCAGTGAAAATTGTTTTAAGATTCTAGAGCGCGGGAAAGTTGTTTTTTAAAGCCCCTGAAACTTTCATGCACAAAAAATACGCGCATCCGAAACAAAATTTAAATACATGCACTGGCTATCAGTTTAGACTTCGGCTTAAAAAAGTATGTTCAAAGCCAAAGGGCGTGCACAATGAACGGAAAAGACTTTTAATTCCCTAAATTTAAGTACGATTACCGCAGTTTACGATACTCAGGTTTCAATGGCTCACAAAAAGTATGTTAACAGAAGAGAGCACGAATTTTGCGCGCGCACGCCAGAGATGAAGTGTCCTCGATCGATCGTACATATATAACGCTTTACGTCCTTTGTATGTACGCGAAAGATTTATACATTAACTACGTTTACTTACGCCAAGGTATGTAGCATCACCGGGTTGCTTTGGTCGGAGATCGACCCAAGTTATGACCGTTACCCAAAGGGGATCGTAGTTTGCTCCGTTTAGGTCTGCTTTCCATAGGCTATTACCATACCCTCTAGCTTTTGAGAACACGCCACGAGGGTCGTTATTTTGATTTTTATATTTCTTAAAAAACACCTTCGACTGTCCATTTTCAAAATAATTCAAGTCAACAGAGGACCAGTATGGTGCAAAACAAGCCGCGTCGTTTTCTTGTTCGCCATAAGTACCGAAATTTCGAGGATTTAATTCGTAGGCGCGATCATTAAATTTTACCAGCCCATTGGCACAAACCTAAAGGTATTCAAATTTATATAGAATACTTTATATAGGAACAGCCATACAAGACAAGTATACTTGAGGTGGTTTCACACTTCAAGGAAAGCTACTTGAGGTGGTTTCACACTTCAAGGGAAGCTACTTGAGGTGGTTTCACACTTCAAGGGAAGCTACTTGAGGTGGTTTCACACTTCAAGGGAAGCTACTTGAGGTGGTTTCACACTTCAAGTGAAGCTACTTGAGGTGGTTTCACACTTCAAGGAAAGCTACTTGCATGAGGTGGTTTCACCCTTCAAGGAAAGCTACTTGAGGTGGTTTCCCACTCAAGGGAAGCTACTTGAGGTGGTTTCCCACTTCAAGGGAAGCTACTTGAGGTGGTTTCCCCGCGTTATATACGCCATAACTGCATGCAAATACTTCTAATTCGTTTGGGAGACCCAAACTACAGGTATGTATTTATGTTCTTTCTCTTACAAATGCTTTAGTAAAATCTTTTCCTTTATAATTGAAGCCAATAAAGGGTAGATTGAGTCGTTTGCATACAGCAGTCTTTTGTACAGTAGTGCTTGAACCAACAAATGCGACCCTAATACTGAATGTGATTTCTTTGTCGCCAGTGTAATCGACCAGTCGACCTGCAAGAAAGTATAGATAATTGGAGGGCACGCAACTCAAAATTATATTGCAAGTTCCAAGTTTCAAATGCTCGAATCCTCTAAAGTTCAAACGTAATACCTAACATTTTTTTTAATATGATACAATTCGTCGTAACTCCTCGTAATTCACATGCATGTCGTAAATCGTCGTAATTTGTTGTTATGCAAAGTGCGACTTAAGAAAACCAAACTATACAACAAATTACGACATGTGAATTATGACGAAGTTTGTCGAGTTATGTCACATGAAAACTAGCTATGAAAACTAATATTTTAGTGACATGTTTTGTGAGCATCGATTAATGAAAAACCAATGGACACTTACCATCTCCGAGACCTGTTTCTGTGCTACCTTCAAACTCCCCATTTCCCTGACCTATATGACACACGAAAGAAAAAAAATTAACCGTCGGATTAATATTTGACAAAAATTTTGCCAACGTTTTCTAGGTCCAAACGTTTCTGACGTTGAAGCTGATGTACAGTTAAGTATATTGCAGTACAAAATTAAGAAAATAGCGAAAAATTAACAGCTTAAAATAACTAAACAGCCCTGAAGGAACTATATATAAAAAGGCAAAAACGTATTTGAAAATACTGTCAAAATACATAACGTTGAATAAAAGTCTGGCACGACTGAATTTTGATAAGAAATTAACATTGCTTTAGAAATAATGTTTCAAAAGAACTCGATGAAGCGCTTAAAATACTTGCACTTAAGGTTAAAAGAGTTATTAAACGATAGAAACTCCGTAAAATATAATATAATTCAAAAATATAATTTTCGACGTTTCGACTAAGCTATAGTCACCATCAACCATCAGGGAAATACAAAGATTATTTTATAATGACTAAAATCATATTTTTCAATATAACATTTACAGTACGCACGTGCTGATTGGTCAAGAAGAGTTTCTACAACCATGGATAATAGCCTTTTAACTGTCCATGCTATAACTGTATGCATAAATATGTAATGCGAATTATATGTAATGCGAATTTGTAATTGAATGGAATTATAATGTTTGTGCAAAAATCTTTTTATCGAGTTATATTATATAAAAGAACTAGAAAACATTTCTTCCTGTGTTTCTATACAGTTATAGAGAGACACTTGTGGGAGTTTGGGAGAACTCGAAATAACGTAAAAAAACTCGCCCTACGGGCTCGTTTTCCCACTGACTATTTCTCGTTCTCCCAAAACTCCCACGCGTGTTTTTATAACTGTATAGACACACGAAAAATGTTTCTATTTCTTAAATATTTTATTAACATACTCAGTAGTTCCCGTAATGCTAAAAAAAATTGCCTGTCTTTGGGAAAATTTTTAAATATCACTCGTATACTATTCAGTATCCCATATTGTACTCGCGATCGTATAATCATCTATACTACCAGCTAGTCTACTAAATATAAACCAGTCAAAAAATCGAAGGAAGTCCAAAATGACAGTAATTCTAAAAATAATTAACACATAAGAGGCTCGTAAAAATCAACCATGCAACACTGGTTAAATGAAAACAAAGCAAGCAGCGTTACATAGTTGATGTTAATTATAGGAGTTTGATGGATAGTTTGGTAATTGGTATAGAAAGCAACAGAGGTTTAAAAGCATTGGAAGGTTTATAATAAAAGCATAAAATTATATGAGACTGTGAAACTATGAAAGGAGCAAAAATAACAAGAGTTCAACATGACTGATCAGTGACAGTGATCTGACAGTGACTGACTTGCCATCGTCTGGGCGAGTTCATCAGGTAACTGATCACAAACCCTTGGAAGTCATATACGGAAACCGTCAAGCTATATAAGACATCAGCCATAAGTGAACGATGGATACATACTTCGCCTCCAGCCCTGTAGATTCAGGATACAGTTTACAAATCTGCATGGTGTAACAAACCCGGCAAATTAATTATCTACCCAGACACCAGATAATCAATAAATCGAGAAAGCAAGAAAAAGTTATGGAAGAGCAATACATCAACCTTATTGTAACCAAATTCCGACCGGGAACATTGAGAGGTTTGCGTGCAGCAATACGGAAAAGGAATTCACGTGTGGAGCCTTTTAAAGTCATCAAGAACGAACTTACTGTCACCTTAAATGGAATCGTCATTCGCGGAACAAGAATCGTAATTATTTATACAAAAACGTCGCAACAAAGTGCAATAAACATCGCTCTCGAAACTCATCTCAGTATTGAGAAGAATTAAAAAAGGCCTTTAATTGCTAAAGAAAAATATGGTTTCCTCAGATAGATAACATGAGGAAGTTTTGACTTGGGCAACAGAATGCTCCAGAACCACAAGGAACGACAAGTATGCCGGAACATCCCTGGAGAGTTTTACATATCAACTTCATGGATCGTTACCGTCTAATGATTACCTTCTTGTTCTCGAAGCGGTAGATAATTTAAATATTTGAGATTCCCAGAAGTCGAAATACTAAGTTCAACGAAAGCATCAGCTGTTCATGGTGTTCCAGAAATCATCAAATCTGATAATGGACCTCCTTTTAATGGAGAAGAATACCAGCGCGATACCTCAAAGCGTTAGGAATAAAACCAGATTTTATCATACCTAGATAATTCAGTATATAATACTCGGGGGAAGGCCTACCTTCCTCTACTCGAAAAATATACGGAAAATGCCGAATACAAATTAGCTACTCGGAATTTAACTCGAACCCAAACTCGTATCTCAAAATTCTCAATAATCCAAACTCGATGTTTCGAGATTTCCGAAAATATGATAGCATGAACAATCGATCGCACATACATGATCTGCCAAGTTAAAAAGGGTTTAATGGGTACAGATATATTGTAATACAACTTAAACTGCATCGCCCTTCATAAATATGGGCATGTACACAAACATACGTGTATGGTTAAAATGTTTGAAATAGCGCACTTAGCACTACTGATACAAGTTATTGTATCAAGTGACTAATTAATACATGATTCTTATTTCAAGATTTATAGTGCATGCATGCAGTTGATTTCAATTCAAAATTCTAAAGTTAACCTAAGCAGTTGGCGAGTATATGGTTTCAAGAGCCGAATGCATGCGTAAAGTTTTTCAATACTCATTTTGCTATACCTCCTAAATATTATATACGTTAACGTTTTGATGAATAGTTAAAATTACTAGAGAGCTGAACTGACACTCCATGCAAAAATATTTACTTGTTTATTTCAGAAGTTTGCTAACATCACATAACATAATTTATTTCACACCATTAGCTGAACAAATACAACTACATACTACAAAATTAATTCAAGAAGAAAGGAAAATAATACAAAAAATATACATATAAAAGGAAAGTAGAGGCCAAAGTAGCGTAGCTTTCGAGCCAGCCTCTGGAGAAACGCGACACAAACATTAATTTCATAATTTTCTTTTGAAGTATATTACTATTAGCTATATGAAAGCGCAACTCAGCATGAGTACTTTCTAGAATGCAATTAGGTTAATATAATAAACGTTTGGATGAATAATTCAAAACGGTGCCGGAATTAAAGTTGAATGACTTCACCACTGGGTTTTATAATCAAGTTTGGACTAAATTGACCTGCAGTAAATTCGCGAAGTTTTAGGTATATTAATTTTATAGCACTACACTTTATATACTATACACAGTGTACACATTAATTGTCATTAGCTATATATACTTAATTTAGCCGATAATCCGAATATTATGTAGTTGCTAACTAAGAATTAATTTTTTTTCAAAACACACTAGGAACAGTCATGGCAGTCATTAAAGGCTAGACGATATAGTCTGCCATGTCATATCTAGACTTACATCTTCGATAAGAATTCGGTTTTATCGACTGCTAAAACATAATTTATGGGCGATAAGTCAGCAAACCATGACACAAGTAAATTCTTTTGGCTACCGTATATGCATAGTACAATGATAATAGTATGAATATTATCATTTATTTCAGTGCAACCATGACAAGTTGCTTTCTAATACAGAATAAGATATTCCCGTTCCAAGATGATTATATAATGCACCTGCGGCCAGGTGTATCAAGCCCGTTTAGCTTAAACGGTGCATGGTTAAAAGTGTATCGTTTTATTCAACAACGGAGCTAAATGTTTTTAACCTCACTCACAAATTAAGAAATCGTTTACAACTACATATTCAGTGCATAATACTCAAGTTGACTTGTTCAACAGAGATGTAAGAGTGACTTATCCACCGTTTATATAAGCTAAACGGGCTTAATTGACACAAAATGTATCACTCTCTGTGCAGTACATATTACATCATTGTGTTGAAATTTCCTGCGCAAAGCGTGGGAAAACGAGGCATGCATGAACAAACTCACCTTAATTATTTATCTACTGAAAATCGTGAATGCATTGCCATGTAGAAATGAACAAGGTTTAAATATCCATGCAACGCAATTAAAATTGATTCACTGGAAATGAACATGTGCCAGGCATGAATTGAAAGTTATACGAATGCAAACTTACCACAAATATAATGAACGAAGGAAGTGAAAATTAAGACGTTTACCAATAGAAGGTCAATATTCGATGCATGAGAAGTTTTCATATTGAAGCAAGATAATATTGTTTGTTCAGTAAGGCGCCTTGATAGTGCCGTCCTTGTTCAATGATTGCCCGAAGGACGACTGAGAAAAATCAATAATCGATACAAAGTAGGAGACAAAAAAATTCCATGAAAAAAAAAGTCGATTGTGGGCTCCCCATTGTTAGTGTTGGAAGGCCGTCGAAAATTATATCGATCGACATATCGATTTTTAAAGAGGCCTATGTCGTCTATTTCTACAGTTTAAAGATACGAGAAACAGGGTATTACTGTACAACGTTACTGAGAAAGAAGCAAGCTGTTTGTTGAAAAATATT